TGAACACCGTTTGCTTCAAGGGGATGTTTTACTTGGCAAGTGACCCTGGGAATGCCTCATCCACAAAATGGCAATCAGATCAGCAGTCTTATTCCTGCCTGCTGAGGGCCCACAGGGAGAGTGCATAGGACTATGGTTCTCTCAGTGTGCTCTCTCCCTTTCCTCCCAGGAACCCTTCCCACTGCCTGTCCATTCCTCAGAGGCCTAGAATCCATACTGCCCCACTAAGCAGGGGAATATTTGGGCCATATGCCCCATCCTGCCCTCCCTTGCCATTGTCCTTCCCTCATTACGATCCTGCTAGGAAATGGATCAGAATGGCACATCTGTAATGGGTGATAAAAAATGAAACCCTAAGTGTTAGGGGACAGTATAGAGGAAGAGCATCTGTAGCCAAAATAGCTATAATTCAGTAAGTCAATCAGACTGAGGAAATAGTTTCCTTCTTCATCTCTGAGACCCTAGGAGGAAACAAAAGGCCTTGTTTGTAACTTGAAATGGTGCTTGAATTAGGGTTGCCCGATACAAAAACAACAAATAAATACAGAACACCCAGCTAGATTTGAATTTCAAATGAACAACCGATCATTTTTTAATACAAGTATGTCCTGAATATTGCACAGGATTTTATTAGATTAAAAAAAGTACTGGTTGTTTATCTGAAATTCAAATTTAATTGGGTGTTACATATTTGATCTGGCAATTCTAGCATGGATCTACCTGCATGTTCAGTAAAGAGAATTGAAATATGAAATTTCCAAACCAGTTGTTTGAAGTTATGTAACGAAGCCAGCAACTGAATTCAGCTGTTTGTTTCTCACCAAGGGCTTAGCAGTTGTGTACCCGCACAGGGTGGTGATTTGGGGTTGGGGAGCCAAGAGTATGCCTGTCCCACTGCTGCCCACTGAGATGCCATTTACATGTCTTGCGTTTTGCAACAGATTTTTTTTAAAGATTTTATTTATTTATTTGACAGAGAGAGACACAGCGAGAGAGGGAACACAAGCAGGGCGAGTGGGAGAGGGAGAAGCAGGCCTCCCGCCGAGCAGGGAGCCCGATGCGGGGCTCGATCCCAGGACCCTGGGACCATGACCTGAGCCGAAGGCAGATGCTTAACGACTGAGCCACCCAGGCGCCCCACATTTTGCAACAGATTTATCTCCATTTCATTTTAAGGTTCTGGGACAAAACTCCGAAGAAAGTGATGTGTTCAGATCTCAAATATGAAATCAGAAGGCGCAAGGGGAGAAGAAGGTGCAGTGATTCTTGAAAGGGAAAGAGACCTATGTTAAATGGTATCCATGACATAATATACTTTCAAAAAGTGTTATGACGAGGTGGTCCCCAGAGGATTACAAACTGGAGCATTGGCGTGGCTTATAAACATTTATGTGAACTAGAAATAGGCCAGTTTCAGAATCTGAACATCATTGTCTTCAAATGACTCCTATACTAATATTTATCTTCAAACTTGAATTGCCCATTTTGTCTGTATAAACTAGTCAAATGAACTAGGTAATCGCCAGATAACCCTATTGTTTTTTAGCTCTTAGATGCAAACTATTGGCTCAGAAGCCAAAGACGGGTTTCAGCTTCCACTCTGCCACTTTGAGATTTAGCTTTCTTAGCTATGCTTTCTTTATCTACCAAAAGAAAGAATAATTTTGCCCTGCATGCCTCATTGATTTCTTTTAAATTTTAAAGGAAAAAAATTCATGGTAAATTCTCAATGTGCACACCTATTTAGATTTAATCAATGTGCTATATGCTGTTTTGTCTTTTTCTTCTTTTTCTGAATTTTGAATTTTCATCTATCGACAGCATACCTTAAATTTGTCTTTGTTGGTGCCTTCATGGGATGATACCGTGTTCATACTCAGAGTTAACTTCTCCCCAATTACTAAATATTTGTCATGTTTCTAGCTTTTTTCCACTACAAAATTGTTATCATAATCCATCTTCATATAAATTGTCTTTTTCTCTCCTCTGGTTTCCTTCACTGGGACATGTTTCTTGGAACAAGTTTGATTAGCTTTTGTTATTTATTGTCAAGTTGCACTTCAGGTGAGGTGGAGCCTATGGACTCCTTTGTGTATGTGGGTCCACTCCCACATTGTCTTTTGATCTTTAATTTATCCTAATTAATAGAAAAGCAGTTGTAGTTGTTTTAGTTGAAGCTCTTTGTGAGGATGGCTAAGCATTTTTCAATATCTCATTTCATTAATTGTATTTCAGCATGTATGAATGTGTCTCCATCTTTCTCTTGTCTCAGTCTTTCCACATTATGGATGGTAGACTTTTGTGTGTATATATTTTTAAATTTGTTTTTATCTTTCTGATGCACTTCCTTTCATCTTAGTTTTGTTACTGTCCATCATATAGAATATTTTACTTTATTGTTTGTATTATAATTGAGCCCATCCTTGTCACTTATATCTTCTTCCATAGTTAAGATAATCCATTTCATTCCCCTTTAAGGTTTTTATAGGAATATTTAAAATGTTTAACTATATAACACATCTGGAATTTATTGTGGCCTGTGAGAATCAAAAAGCATATTGAGAAAAGTAAACAATTTAGAATTTTTTTTTAAAACTAACTTGAGTCCAGCAACACTAACTTACGACAAGTCACTTAACCTCTTAAGACCCTGTGCCCTCTATTAGACTGAAGACAGGGACCTTGTCTTATTTTTCTTTGTTTTCCCCCACAATATCCAGGAAAGTACCTTACATATAGGATAAATTTTATAAGGTCTATATTCAGGTCATGCTTTTTGCATAATTATTACTATCAAATTGTTCCAACAGCATTTATTAAATAATGATTCATTTCTCAAATGTTTATTTGGTTACTTATTATTGATCACATATCAGTGATACTCAGACTTGGCAAAACACCTGGAAGTTATGGCCTTCTGCAAAGCATCATGAAACATGGAGATATTTAAGTTAAAATAATGAAAATTAAAGCTTGATGCTAAATCAGACACCAACTTACACTAGATTCTAGTATAGTACAGATACCATCAGATGCCAAGAGTTTTTTTTTAATTTGTGGGAGAAATGTTAAAATTGAGAAAATTCTACCCAATGACTTAATTCCTTCTAAGAATCAGGAAAAGAACACCCACCCATGGAACAGGTAGTTCATCGAGAGCAAAAGTTGAAAACCACATCTTGTATTAAGCATACCCAGTTGAGAACATAAATAAAAGCTGCTGATCAAATGTAAACACTACATGAAGTCCAGCTGAACTGGGCTGAACTCCAGCTGAACTCAAAAACTATTTAAGATCAGCCTTTTGAGTTTCCAGCGTTGGAATTCCCATAATATTAGGAAGTCTAAGGGAGAATAGATGTCCGATCTCCAGTGTGTGTTCACACCAGCAACCATAATTCCAGGCACTTCTGTTCATTAATCTATAAATCAGAGGAGATGACACAAGGCACCTTGTGTCCTACCATATCATAGCATATGGACTTCACAAAGCAAGCAGGAGGTATGTTGGAACTCTCAGAAAGAACCCATTTCCATTCTGGATTCGTTGTAGTCTGAAGACAATGCCATCTCGAGAGCTGGAGTCCTGCCTTCTGCACAGACTTCCTGAAGATGTGGACAGGGATATCTTTAAAGGCTACTGGAGCCCTCTGCAAGCAACTTCATTGTGCTGTGCTAATTATTTGTATGTTTTCACAGAGCTTACTTTTACTTAGACCTTAGCTTACAAAAACAGTTTCTTGTTAAGAAAGACAATATGCTGTAGTTTTAAAAAGAACACTTCTAGAACAGGAGGTAAGAATCTAGGGTTGCATCCTCATTCTGCCACTTCATCTGGGATGAGTCGTTCAACATTTGTGGGCCTCAGTTTTCTTTTCAAAAAAAAAAATGGGTATTTAGAATAAATGGTTCCTAAAGTCCTATATAGTTCTAATAGTCTTGTTCAGCATAGATATTTCCAGTTCAAGTGAAGATGCAAAACTTCATACTTAGGAAACTGATAATTTGCTATTCATAATGGCCCTTGCTGAGTTATTCTTCACTTAGAAAATTCCCCGAGAATTTCCCTAAATAGTAGGAACCTCTAGTGAAGTCAAGTTCTGATTCCAAGTACAAATCTCCAACTCTGTTTTATGAATATGCTATACACTCGGTAGAGGAAAGTGATATTTCTTCTCTGGACTGTGACATTCATGAACAATATTCTGTGGCAGCTCTGGGGGGTGGGTGTGTATGTTGGCAAGAAGTTAGAACTGCTAAATCCTGATTCAGATATAGTGCCAAAAGGACAGCAGATTCCACGAAAGTCATCTGCTTAGAAGGGAAATAAATCATGACTTCATTGGACATGTGGTTTCTTAATCTCCAGTTCACTCTTGGTCCAAGGTTCTGAAATCAGGGCTAACACGGAGAGGCTGCTTTGTGAAATCATGCAATTATCTTTTCCCCTTCTCCTTTACACTATCTCCAGAGATTGCATGGATCAATGGTACTGTTCAAAGCATTTCAGTAAATACTAGTTCAAGCCATTTTCCCTCCAAAATGTATCCCACCAAAAGGTTTGCTTCTCATCTACCCAAGAGTGTGTGTGCTCCAGATGTCTTTGAACCCTCACTGTAGGATGTGGTGTAAACTATCCCAGATAGCCTTCATTGTCCTGAGTTATCCCACTAAGCTACTACTCCGCACGCTACAAAGGCTGACCACCAACCTCTACTTCACCAGCATGGACGAACCAATTTGTTTTCTGTCACTCTTGACAGCTGATTTGGATAAGAGCAACAAAGCAAAGTTCTAGCGGCCCTTGTTTACACTTAGCAATTCCTATGTGTGTATTTGTGTTTTAGGATGACATTTCTGCCAATATTAGCAGAGCTCCAACATACCCGTTAAAATGGGACACGGTTTCCACTTAGTGCATTTATGTGAAGAGCAGTTTTTTACCTGATTTCCACAACACCTCAGATGGTTTACAGTAAAGTTTTGCTATCTTGTTGCAGTTTCAGAAAATGGTCTTATACAGAAGCAGCGAACACCTCGCCGAAGATGTCAGCAGCCCAAAATGTTGAGTAGCCCTGAGGACACCATGTACTATAACCAGTTAAATGTGAGTTCAAAGTGGCCATAAAGCTGTTTCACTGGCTTTGTTTCCAGTTAATAATTCTGTTATTAATACCTGTTCCAGCCCCTCCAGCCCCACCCCCACTCTCTTATGCTCTCTTCTCGAACATGTGCTTAGGCTCTTTATCTGTTGCTTTCATGTCAGGATGTCTGCCTTCACGGTGAATAATTGATGTGGTTTATCAAAGACGAGCAAGATGCATGCTTCATCAGGCTCACTTGAGCCCTTTGATCAAAAAAATTATGCTGTGACTTCTGATATTATCAGCATCTGCTTGCATTCAACACAAAATCACTTTGAATTAAAAATTAACGACTTGCTGCTTTGCTTTGACTGTGTGTTCTTGGCCCTCTCCACAGGGAACTCTAGAATATCAAGGGAGCAAGAGGAAGCCAAGAAAACTTGGGTAAATATCTGTCTTCTTAGTTCTAAGCAACTGTAAACAGAAGGGGTCCTTTGTGATATTACAGAAAATGCAAAACTTTCCAGAGAAGCTTCTAAAAATATGCAAATGGGGATATCACCACTATTATTGACATTGGAAACTACTTTTCACAGTAGCAGCTACATAAAACTTGAATCTTTTCTGTCCAAAAAGGCTGAAATTGCCACCTAAAGGCAAATGTTATTTTTCACAATTATGCCAGGAAATTGTGGTTTCCCTCATAATTGCAGACGTAGCAGATTGTATAAAACTCTCCCACAAGTAAAAGCATTCCACGCAGTGCAAATAGGCCGCTTCCCACATCACCCTACCCCTGGGCCTTAAAAGTACACAAAGGAAAATCTCCCCCAGTGGTTAGACAGAGGACATTAGGGAGTTTGTGGCTCATTTGATTGTTAGTATCCCGATCAAGAATATCGTGACATATGTAACTGGGCTAGTTTGAGAACTGGAGGAGGACAGGAGGGAGCTTTCTCTTCTAGAGGGAACCAAACAAGGACAGACAAGTCAATTCAGGCAGACAAGTTGTAATATGATCACAACTTCCAGACACCACTACATTGGGCCCGTTATCAGCCCGTGACCCTGAGGTGAAAGGCTTTGCGGATCAGACCTCAGTTCCTGTGTTCTGGGAGACCCTGAGCTACCTACCTGCCATTGAGGGGACCCAACCCTGTTCTCAGCACTCACGCAACTTTAGCTGCTCCAGGGATGACTGCGGCCTTTGTCCTCTTTTTCTGCTGAAAACTCTTTTCTTTGTTGCAGCCAAATCAAAGTGCTTGATGGGGAAGATGAATATTACAAATCCTTGTCACCTGTGGACTCTATTCCCGAGGAAGACAACCCATCCTGCCCTTTCTTTTCTTCCTCATCCTCAAAAGGAACATCTTTTGCTCAGTACTGAAGTGTACTTCCTGCCCCCCAAGTCTGTTGAGGGTAAGAACAATCGTGGTAATTGACTGTCATTTAATAAGAAAGTACTGCGATGGGGTCATCTTCTTTGGACACATGGTCTGGGTCTGAGACTTACTGAATAATTTGCAGATTCCTAACCATGTTCTCATATCTCCATTGCCCTCCCCATATCTGCAGTGCGGCCTGAGCTGGGCAGTTTTCATTTTCTCATCTCATGGGTACCTGTGGGATACTGAGCACACCTCCAGTACAGCAATAGGCGTCATTCGTGCCCTCAGAATCTAGGAGGGTAACAGATAGTCTCACCATAAGCCAATCGTGAATGCTGATGGTATTTATTTTTCCTGCCACGTCAGTCCTTGCAAAATCTGCCCCTGTGAAAATTCAGTCCTCCCTTTCCACCTTACATTCTTCCCCCTGCATTCCCCTCCTCCTTTGAGAGACCCTTCAGGCCTTTCTCCAGAGTCAGAATTCCACTGCCGAGGGTCCCCATCCTGAAGAAGCACACTACCCAAGGTCTCCTAGGGCAGGATAATTTTTTGTGTTTAGGGGGAGAGGCCTAAATCCTTCTGTAAGGCAGATGAACTCCTCTTTTGCTAGTTATTATGCTGATAAAGGCTTTGCCTCTTTACTCCCATCACCTTAGCAGTAAAAACAAAGGAATTAGAGGGAAAGAAAATTTGGACCTGTCATAGTCTATGTCACATGGTTAGTAAATTCCCATTCTCTGGTCAGTGATGTCCACTAGGCTGTGAGTGATTGTAGGGAAAGGATCTTGTTTTGTGCCTATTTTTGTGGGCAGAGGCTAGGTCAGTGCCTGTCACAGAATGGACATCCCGTAAATGCCCTTAAGTGAATGGAGGGACTTCACTTATTTACACTAACATATGTGACAGGAAAGTATATTTCAATTCTGTGTGCTACATGATTAATCACTTTTCTTACACCATAAGCTCTGATTTTTCACCCCAGGTTGGGCTAGTCCTATTATAATAATATTGTACCATATATTATAATACTCAGTATGATTCAATACAACAAACATCTTTTGAGCAACTACTCTATGCAAAACAATGTGTGAGATTGCTGTATGATATAAAAAAAAAAAAAAAACAACCCTACAAGACCTTTTCTCTAGAACAGATGTTCTCAGCATTTTTTACTTTAAAATACTTGGCAGATGGGGCGCCTGGGTGGCTCAGTTGGTTGGGCGACTGCCTTCGGCTCAGGTCATGATCCTGGAGTCCCAGGATTGAGTCCCGCATCGGGCTCCCTGCTCAGCAGGGAGCCTGCTTCTCCCTCTGACCCTCCTCCCTCTCATGCTCTCTATCATTCTCTCTCTCTCAATAATAAATAAATAAAAATCTTTAAAAAAATAAAAAAATAAAATACTTGGCAGATCGTACATGTGGGAGTACCCAGATTTTGGGGAAAAAATAACTGGAAGAAATAGAAGAAAAAATGTTATCAGAGTTACAGAGGGGAAAATTTTAATATACATTTTACAAAGATAAAATAATGAAATGAGGCATCTAAAGATCTCAGAAATGTATTTTTAAAGAAAAAGAAATAGGAAAAGCCAATTATTTAATAGTTAAACTTTACTTTTTAAAAAAATGAGCCTTGATTTTTTTTCTCACACATTCACCCCAAAGGTAATGTTTATTAAGGTATACAAGCAGAAGAAACACAAATGACCTTTATTATTTAAAAAATATCTAGTATATGTAGCTTTTTAACATAATTTAAATATAAGTATTTTTGTGTTGAATTATAGGATAGGTGTACAACATAGTGATTCGACAGTTCTGTGCATCATGTGGTGCTCACCACTCTAAGTGTAGTTCCCATCTCTCTCCATACAATATACTTGACTGCATTCCCTGTGCTTCACTTTTCATCTCTGTGACTTAGTATGTAAAACTGAAGTCTGGGCCACCTGGTGGCTCAGGCGGTTAAGCATCTGACTCTTGATTTTGGCTCAGGGTTGTGACACCGAGCCCCACTCTGGGCTCCACGCTGGGCATGGAGCCTGCTTAAGATTCTCTCTCCCTCTGCCCCTCCCCCCACTCCATAAATAAATAAATAAATAGATAAATCTAGAAGTTTATTGTCTCTTAATCCCCATCACCTATTTCACCCATCCTCCCGCCTCACTCCCCTCTGGTAACCATCAGTTTTTTCCCTGTATTTATGAGTCTGTTTCTGGTTTCTGTTTGTATGTTTGTTTGTCCATTTGTTCATTTGTTTTGTTTTTTAGATTCTACATGTAAGTGAAATCATACAATATCTGTCTTTCTCTGACTTATTTCACATAGCATAATACCCCTCTAGGTCCTTCCTTGTTGTCACAAATGGCAAGATCTCATTCGTTTTTATGGGAATAATTATGAAATTATAATTTAGAAGCTCTGCAGTAGGGGTGCCTGAGTGGCTCAGTTGTTAAGCGTCTGCCTTCAGTTCAGTCATGATCCCAGGATCCTGGGATCGAGCCCCGCATCGGGCTCCCTGCTCAGCGAGAAGCCTGCTTCTCCCTCTCCCACTCCCTCTGCTGTGTTCCCTCTCTCACTGTGTCTCTCTCTGTCAAATAAATAAAATCTTTAAAAAAAAAAAAAGCTCTGCAATAATTAGTCATTGCCACAGCTAGAACTCCTAACTACTTTAGAAATGGGGTTCACCATCAGCTACACCATCTACAGATTGTAGATGTTATTCTTAAACTAGTCATAATGCCACAAACTCAAGGAGCAATTCTTAAATCAAATATATGAGAATGATGCAACCTGGAATCTCATAAATGTCCTGTTAAATTTATCAAAGTAATAAGCACACGGCAAAAACAAAACAAAAAATCAGAGAGTCCAGAGGGTTTATAATGGAAATCAATCTTCTTCTCCCTGTCCCTACCTTAGTCCCTCCCCTCTGAAGCAACCATTTTTTATTATTTCTAATTCTAATTCTTTTAATGGTTTCCATCATGTCTGTGAATAATTTACTTCCCTCTTCTTGGTTTATCATTTTCAAAAATATTTACTCTCCCCCTCTATGAAAGATGTGCATTTATTTCAATTCTGTCTCCCCTCTCTTACTTCTTCCAGTGCTTACAATTGGATGTTTAAGTTTTTGTTGATTACCTTTTAAACTTTAAATTATATAATTAAACCCTATTTTTGTGTGTCATTGACTTTAGATAGTATCTCTGCGAGAATACCTGACATGAAGAAAACCAACAAGCTGAAAAATACTGTCAAGACAAAATAACTGACCTTGGACAAAATAGAAATCATTCTGGGAATAGAACAGTTTTTAAAAGCTTCACTGGAAACCATTGGTGTTCATGTTGTGAGCTGCTGGCTTTTCTTCCATTTTGGTTCATCTGCAGACATGCCTCCATCCACTTTAACTTTCTTTATTTTTAAATGTCATGCAAATACAGAAAAGGGCACAAATCAGAGGACTCAACTCATTAAGTTATCAGAAAGTGAATGTCTATATAACTGCCCCTACAGTCAAGTTATCTATGTAACCACTCCTACAGTCTGATATGTTATTAGAAAGTGAGTATATATAAACCTTCTGTGGGTCGAGTGGAACGTTGTCAGCACACTAGAAGTCCCCCTCTTGTCCATTCCCAATCACCCACCTCTCCAAAGACAAGCACTCTCATGACTCTTGTGGTAAATACTTCCTTGGTTTTCTTTATAATTTTACCACTTACAAACATCCCTAAACACTATAGTTAAATTTTGCCTCTTATAGTTAGGTTCTGGGAACTTTATATAAATGGAATCATGTAGCATGTAATCTTTTGGGTTTTGTTTCTTTTATTTGGTGTTATATTTGTGAGATTAATCTATGTTGTAGAATGTAAACATAGCTCATTCATTTTCAAAACTATGTAACATTTCAGTATATGAATTGACTTAGCCATTCTGCTTTTGATAGACAAATATGAATTATTTCCAGTTTGGGGCTATTCTGGACATTGCTACTATGAACATTGTTGTGTGTCTCTTGGTGTCTATTTGCATGCATTTCTGTTGGCTATATACGTAGGATTAGGATGGCAGAGTTCTAAGGTACCCATATCTGCACTTCAGTAGGTAATACCAAACTGTTTTCCTAAGTGATTTTACCAATTTACAGTCATACCTGTGACATAAAAGAGCTTCCATTGTTCTGTATTCTCTCCAATTCTTGTTATTATCGGTCTCCTTCATGTGGGCACTCTGATGGGTATATATTAGAATCTCACTGTTGATTGATAGCTTACATATCTCTGATTAATAATGATACTGAGCACATTTTCATACTTTAGTGGCCTAAAATTTTAGATACCTCCTTTTGTGATATGCCCATTTTTATTTGGGTTAACTACATATTTTCTTTTAATTTGAAGAAGTGTATTATATATTGTTAGTTATATGTGTTGCAAATATTTTCTCCACTAGGTGGTTTGTCCTTTCATTCCCTTAAGGTATCTTTTGATTAAAAAAAAAAGTTTGTAATGTTAACATAATACAACTTATCGGTGTTTTTCTGTTTGATTAGTACTTTTTTATAGCCTATTAAGAAATCTTATCCAGCCCCAAGGTCATAAAGGTATTTACCTTTAGGATTTTCTGGAGACATTATTGTCTTGCCTTTCACATTTAGATCTTCAACCCACCCAGAATCAATTTTGTGAATGCTATGTGGTAAGGGCCAGTTTTCATGTTTTCTAATAATGGATATTCAGCTGTCAAAGGCCCGTTTAATGAAAAGGCCATCTCTTTTCTACTGCTGTAAAATACTACCATTTACATAAATCAAGTAATCATGAATCTGTTCCTAGATTCTCTGTTCTGTTCTGTTGATCTATTATCCTTGCCGTAAATCCTATACATTTATAATAGGCTTTGGTATATGACAGAGCAAGTCTTCTAACACGGTTTTTCTTTTCCAAGAGACCTTTGATTAGTCTGGGCTCTTTGCATGTTATAGATTCAAATAGTCAATTTATGAAAAAAAGAAAAAACTGTTGGTATTTCTTTGGAATTATCTTGAGTCTGTAAGTCAATTTGGAAGTAATTGTCATGTCTACAATATTGAATTTTCCAAACTGTAAGCATGGTATATCCTTCTATTTATTTAGTTATTCCTTCTCTTCTCTTAATAATGATTAATAATTTTATCTGAGAAATCTTACACATAGTTTATTAGTTTTATCCCTATGTACCATATATAATTTTATAGTATTTAAAAGTGTTTTTTAAATTTTTTAACTGTTTGTTGCCTGTTCTAGATTAAATGTTTATGTCTCCCCAAAATTCATATCCTTAAATCTAATTCCCAATGTAGTGGTATTTGTTGGTGGGGTCTTTGGGAGGTGATTAAGTCATGAGAGTAGAGCCCTCATGAATGACATCAGTACCCCTTTAAAGAGACCCCAAAGACCTGGCTTGCCTCCACCCCATAAAGACACAGTGGAGAGATGGCTATCTCTGAACCAGCAAGCAGACGCTCATGAGACACCAAATCTCCTGGCACCTTGATCTTGGACTTCCCAGACCTCCAGAACTGTGAGAGATTAATTTCTGTTGTTTAAGCCACCCAGTCTGTAGTATTCTGTTATGGCAGCCCAAACAGACTAAGACATGCCATTATATGAAAGTGCAATTGATATTTAGTATTTGAGATCCATCAGCTTTGCTAAGTCATTAATTCCAGTAATGTATCTAGATATTTTTGGATTTTCTACATACATAATATTACCTCTACAAATAACTATAGACATTTTCTTCCTTTTTCATACTGCATACTTCCTTTTATACTTTGTTTTTTTCTTGACCTCCTGTCTTATAATGTTTTTACTGCATTATAAACCACCCCAAATTATTTCTTACAAGTCTGTGGTTGGCTGAATATTTCTGCTGATTTGAACTAGTCTTGCCAGGACTCATTTGTGCATCTGCAGTTAGCTGAGGTCAGCTAAGCACCTTTGCTGATGTTGGCGGGGTTTCTCACATATCTAAGACCAAGCAAGGACAGCTGGGCCCCCTTAGTTCTGTTCAACATGGTCTCATCCTCCAATTTGTTATTATCCCCAGTGGCGGTGCCAGAGTCACTGAAAAAGAGAGGGAGAAGGGAAGGAGAGGGAGAGAGAGAAAGAGGTCTCTTGAGGCTCAAACTGGCACATTGTCAATTTAGCCATATTCTTTTAACCAAAGCAAAATACAAGGCCAGCTCAGATTCAAGAGGGGCTTCGGAGTCCCATTATATGGCAAAGGGTGTGGATACAAGGAAAAGTAGAGAATTGAAGTCACTTTTTTTTTTTTTTAATCAAAATACCACACTGACCTGGCTAAGACTTTCAGTACAAGGTTGGTTAGGAGGGCTAATAGTAAGCACTCTTGTCTTTTTTGCAGTCTCAAAGAGAGAAAGCTTTCAGTATTTTATAACTAATTATAATATTTGCTGTTCCTTTCTGTTCTCAAGAGGGGTTTTCCCCTTATAAGTGGATGTTCAATTTTGTCACATGCTTATTTTTTATGTATTTAAATAATTCTATGATTTTACCCCTTTATTTTGTTAATGTCCTGAGTTATGCTGGTTTTCTAATATGAAAGCAGCCTTGTATCCTTGCAGTACATACAACTCTATCATGTCGTATTATCCTTTTACATTTTGCTGTATTTGATTTGTTAATTTAAAAAAATTTATATCTGTGCCCATGATGAAATTAACATATAAATCCTTAATTCTCATAATATCCCTACTTGCTTTACTCTGGAAGATTTTATGTAAGAATGACATCAGTTCTTTCTTAAAATTGTTTTAATTCACTAGGGGAGCTATCTGTGCCTGCAGGTTTTTATGAGGGAAAATTTTAATTATAGATTAAATTTCTTTAATAACTTATGACTACTCATATCTTCTATTTCTTCCTGTATCAGTTTTGTTAGGTTTTAGTTTTCCAGAAATTTGTCCATGTTTTCTACATTGTCAAATTTGGTTAGAATTATTCAAAATATTTCTTAAGGTATTTTTAATATCAGTCGGATCCCCTTTTTCCTTTTGCAATGGTGATAATTTGTGTTTTCTTTTTCCTTAACTGTTCTTGCCAGGTCTGCCAATTTTATTAGTGCTTTAATGGAAACACTTTTGATTTTGTTCATTTTTTTTCATTACCTATCTATCCTACTTCACTAACTTTTGCTCTTAGGCTTATTATGTTTCTGCTTTGATAAAATTGGCTGCATCAGTTATGATTTCTTTTTTAATTCATAAGATTTTCAGAAGTTTATTAATTTCTAAACATATAAGGATTTTATCCTATATTTTTGTTGTTGAGTTCTAGCTTAATTGTTCTTATGGCCAGAGAACAAATTCAGTATTATTTCAAGACTTTGATATTTATTGAGACCTTATAACTCAGCATATGATTTTTTTTGGTAAAACTTTCATAAATATTCCACATATACTTAGAAATAGGGTGTATTCTGCAGTCTTCTATATATGCAAAATAGGTCTGGTTTGTTAACTGTCATCTTTTCCATGCTCACTGCTATTTTTTTCTTATTGCTTTTTCCATCAGTTAAGAGATGTATGTTCAAATCTCCCACTATGAATTTGTCTATTTCTCCTTTTAGTTTTAGCAATTTTGTTCTCTGTGTATTTTAAGCCTGTATTATTAGGTACATATACACAATTTTATCTTTTTTTTTTTTTGGACACCCAAGAAATTACAGTATGCATCCTTGACTTAACCAAAATCTAATATTACTTAGTACTTTTACCCTTTTCTTGGACAATTCAAGAATTCAAGGACCTTAAAACACTAACAATATCTCTATGTTATATATTCCTCCTTGATTATATTGCCCCTATTGTGGTATATTTTTTTAAGTAGGCTCTACACCGAACATGGGGCTCAAACTCACAACCCCAAAATCAAGAGTCACATGCTCTACCAACTGAGGTGTCCAGGTGCCCCTATTGTGGTGTGTTTTAATTTCATATATATCTTAAATCCCACAAGATGTTATTATTTTCATTGCTCTTCATTTCTTCCCACATCTCAGACCTTTATTCTGATGTCCATTTCCTTCTGCCTAAAGAGCACCATTAGTGTTTCCCTTACTGTGAGTTTGCTGTTATGTTTTTTTTTATAACTAAAAAATGTCTTTATTGCATCTTAATTCTTGAAGGGTATTTTTGATAAGTGTAGAATAATATGTTGGCAGTTATTTTCTCTTAGAACTTTAAAGAGCACTTCGTTATCTTCTGGTTCTCATTGTATCTGATGAAAAGACAACTGTAATTCAAATTGTTGTTCCTTTGAAGGTAATCTGTCTTTTTCCCTGACTGCTTTTAAGGTTTTTCTTTTTCTTTGGTTTCTAGCAGTTTTAATCTGATGTGGTTCTCATTTATGTTTTCTTATTCTCTTGGTTATTATTTATGCATATTGGAAATTATAGTTGTGAAATTGTTTGTGAAGATAATTTGACACCCAGGATAATATTCCCTTCCTCCACAAAACAGTAGTATTTGCTGGGGACATTAATAAATCAGGACCACTTTAATCCAACTGCAGACCCTATAATGGTTTGAAACTGGCCTGCAATCCTTGTAAGAGCAGTCTACATCTGGTTCACTATCTCCTAGAGTAGAGCCCTTTGCCCAAGTCAGGGTGTGTGTGTGTGTTGGGAACATAGGTTTTTAAGACTCCAACTTTTGGGGCACCTGGGTGGCTCAGTCGGTTAAGCATTTGCCTTCAGCTCGGGTCATGATCCCGGAGTCCCGAGATTGAGCTCCCTGTTCGGTGGGGCGGGGGGCGGTCTCCTTCTCCCTCTGCCCTTCACCCTGTTTGTGAGTTTATTCTTTTTAGTTCTACCTTACTGCCATTTAAATGAGATCTCAGGAATAGGAGATACAAATGTGTGCATGCTATATCTGCCATGCTGTAACCTATCCTGCTTAAAATTATTAAGTAAATAATTTACAAATACTAATATTTGAACTATTATTCTTATAACAGTTAATTATTGAGATATAATTCACATACCATACAACTCACCCTTCAGTATATTTGAACATACCATACAACTCACGATTCAGTATATTTGAACTATTATTAATAATGAATTATTAGTTTCACACAATTAAATTCCACATATTACTATTTTAAGACATTATTGTTGATGTTGGCGTTTACAGGATAGAAGAGGAGATGTGACACATACATAGATATTTAGAGTAGGAAATGGCAGGGTAAGTAAGAGCAGAGAGGGAGCATAAAGAAATGTTTCTTGAAGGAATCAGCATTTAACCTGAATCTTGAATGGTGGGTAGAGCAGAGATGGGCAGAGATAGAACTGGCACCCCATAAAATAAAACACAAGGGCAGCTGCTAGCCCTTGATGTGAATTAGGGGAAAAAATCCCTCCCCACCCCCATTCTAAGCACCCTTGTAGAACTGCAACAACTAAGTGTCCTGGAAGAGCCCAGTCAAACTGAAACATCAGGAAGATTCAGGTCCTGTTCTGGTTTGACTGGAGCATAGAAAGTAAATAAAAGGTAAATCTGTGGAAGTTGATGATGGAGGACTTTGCATACTGTGCTAAGGAGTTTGTACTCTGTTCACTGGGCAACAAGAAACCACTGGGGATTGTGTTCAGAGGAATGCCATGAACAGCTCGAATTTGGAAAGAGCTTGTTGGCAGTACTGCAAAGGAGCGAGAAGTAAGAAGCCAAGATCAGTTGGAAGACTTATGTGGTGATAGTTCAGCAAAAGGAATTAAAGACCAAAGCTAGAATGAAGGAAGGAGAATAAAAAGGGTGTGAAACCGATACATCCTGTAAAAATACCATTTGCAGATTGGGTAGTAAGGACTGGGGAAGTAATGGTGGAGGAAAGATAAATTAAAGATGATCTCTTGCAGAAGAAATGAGTTGAAATCTGGAATTTATCTGCGATTTATCAGCTGAGTGACTGGGACATGACTTTAGTTTCCTGTGGCAGCTGGCTAATTTTCCAGAAACTCAGTGGTAAAAAGAAGGAAAGAGGAAGAAAGGTGATTCAAGGGAGTTACAGGATTGGTCAGATTTGTAGGATGGAAACA